GCAGGATCCCTTCGAGCCCACCCTTGCAGTCTAGTAATCAAGTGGATGGAAGATTATGTATCCTCCGACTCAAACCTAATGGATTGGATGAAAGCCTGTCGACAAAAACCTTGATTTCGTCGTAAACCTCGTTTTAAATGCAAATCACCGCCGAAATTTGTCGCTTGAGCACCTGCTTGTTGTGACTGATCCAATTCAATGCAAGCGAAATTGTTTGGGGAGGTTTGACTGGAAAGGTGGAACATCAAACCTGTCGTGAGCCAGACATATACAAAGCCTAAACGTATGATGCAGAGGTGTTTTAGTCGAAGATACCTTGCAACACTGTGAATGGGAACGATTCCACTTGGTTCTCCGGAGTGCCTTCACAAAAACTCTTTTGGCCTTCTCAACCTATGGCGAAAACATTTTCTTTTCTACCGCATCCCGCTCATTCGATCGCTTTACCTCTATTCCCCGGATTCGGCAGAGGTAAGGTGGTTCAGCGACGGTTCACCACCTTTCTATGAAACAGTACGAATTGGCTGACTGACAGTAAATCTTTAAAGGTGTGATAAGGAGTTTTTGCACCAGTAACCGCTGCCCAACATCTTCCCTGTAATTCTGACCAAAAGCGGTGAAAAGGTGAACCAGAATTTTCACCCTCGAGCGTGTACAGAAAATTGCTTAAACAAGACAACCCTAAGAAAAATTCCAAACATCTCAGTTTTCAAGTACGGGCTCGATTATTGTAGGTGTAATTTTTGACTTGAATAATAAGAATATTCTTACTTATAAGTCATAGTTAGTATTGCATAAATGAAACTTGACGACCGTTTAGTCACTTAGAATGGATAGCTCGAACATGCAGCCCTAATTAAAAGAAGAGAAATGATGAGTAAATAACTACGAGAAATTCAAGAGGATATAGCGAGCTGCAGTCGGTGAGGGATAGAAGGACTAAACGCGTGCCGAGCTCACCTTAAGAACGAATGTGACCCATGGATAATACACATGTTTTCCCCGCCCTTGTTTGGGTATTTTAGGATTAAGGGGAGATAATCACTGTTTTGAAGAAAAACTATAGGCGGGTGGGGGAATTGCTCTGGTGAGGAGTAGGATAGCAATTCTGACCCTGTGTGGGAATATGAGGTGGATTGTCCTGCGTTGGGCCACGATTGAGCATTTGGGACCTAGTGAAACAGCAGGCATTAAAAGTGAGTGTGCCGCTCCCACATACATAGAACTGTACTGAATCTCGCCCACATCAGCCAACTACGAACTTGTTGACCGTGGTGGACTCGTCTGATAGGATAAACACTCAGTTGTGCATCGTATATCCTCTCAATTTTCAATGTATAGCCTGTAAGACTTGCAAGCTCTTAATTTTGCGAAGAAGGGCCAGTGCGCAGCCCTTTCCCAACAATGGCTTGATCAACACTCACTCGCATGCTTATTCTTATATGAAGAGTAAAAAAATAATCGAAACTAGCAGAATCCGCGTTCAAAGGCACGGGTCGCGACCGACTGGTATGCTTAGTTTTGTTCGAATGTAGAAGAAAGTGCGAAGAAAAAAGTCAGAAGGAAAAGGACAAAAAGGTAGAAACAACGATTTTTCTTTTAGAGGTCGACCGGGTACTGCGAGGAACACAGCGAGCGAAGAAAAGCTAGGAGATAGCAGTTGAATGGCAGAGGGGCGGCAGACGTGTCAGGTATGCTGCGAAGTCGAGCCATTGCAGTCTTTGCAAGAAAGCTTTGCTCGCGTACTTTCAGTTGCTACAACCATTTGTACCATTTGAAAATCCTACTACCTAACATGAGGGCAGAAGTTCTTCAAGAGTCTAAGCGTGACCCGTGCCCTTTAAGCACTCCTAGGTTGCTCTTTCATCGAAACTCAATTTTGAAAAAATGTTCCATTCAGCAGCATACGTTTAGAATGACCCATTTTTAGTGGCTCCATGGGAGCTTGGTATAGGCTATCCACAATCCTCCGGTTCTAATTATCGAATATTCTCTCTACCTCAGCAATTCTGAACTTAATGAAAATTGAGAGCAACGAGGACACAAACCTCCGCATTCTAAAACGACAGTAAAATGAGTAAAGTCGAGTAAAGAACGCTCGTACTGACGTCAATGGCCATTTACAAACGCGGCGATCTCTCGTAAGCGAATTTTAGTAATGCATTTTCAAAATCGCTTCCGCAGAGTGACTGGCCTCAACTGGCCAGCGGTCATTCTTTGGAAAATACAACGCGAAGCACTTACCAGGAAGGTCTTTCAGGGCGTGACGAGCTTTTTGAAAACGGTCTTTGCATGATATAGGGGCAGATGCGGGGACCACAGAACCATGTTTAATTTTTCCTGAACGGCCCTCTGAATACCAGAAAAGGGGGTCCCTAGTTCGATTCCTCTTGGTGACAAATTTTTGCATTTCGAGTTGACGTTCCAAAATTCGCGCAAAATGGAGTTCTGATTGTTCTGGTTGGTTCTAACTCCATTTTGCGCGAATTTTGGCACGTCAACTCGAAATGCAAAAATTTGTTACCACGAGGAATCGAACTAGGGACCTCCTTTTCTGGTATTCAGAGGGCCGTTCAGGAAAAATTGAACATGGTTCTGTGGTTCCCGCATCTGCCCCTATATCATGCAAAAGACCGTTTTCAAAAAGCTTGTCACGCCCTGAAAGACCTTCCTGGTTAGCGCTTGTTGCCATGGCTGCCGCACAATCAGACCGCTTTATCACCATCAAATAATTATTTTTCCTCGACGGTGCAGAATGCGGGTTTGATTTTCGATCACAGGACTATATTTGGAAAACGGAACGCAGGAGAGCGTATACTAACAGGTGCTTGGGAGGCTAGTTCCGTCAAGTAGCCAGCTTTTGAAAGTATTTCTGGAACATCTGAATAATTCAATGGGTATTTCAAAACGGCTATGGGGTCGCTGAAATAACACTCTCTGCATAACAGGGCCTTTTAGCATTAGTGGAGCCTAGTCCTGGATACCGAGCACACACTGGAAAAAAATCAAAATTTATTCCTAACAGGAGCATCAGGAAGATTTGTGTACGGAGCTGCGGAAAACGACACAGGCTGTAGACTGCGTCGTCGAGATTCCTGAAAATGGACGAAAAAATCCGAGCATACTCGTGCGTGGCTAAAGACTTTTGAGATCCACACTTCATTAATACTTTTGAGCTCGCCTAATGGTAAGAACTTTCGATGTTGAATTGTCCTTTATATTTTCATGTAAGTGACTTCACACAATTTGCTACTGCACAGCTACGGATGATACGAAAACTCGATAGTATGCAAAAGTGAACAGCCTTAGACCCTTTGCGGGCGCTATCACAAGACACGAAGGCATCTTCCAGGACTAAGCAGGAGTCTTCCAGGACTAAGCCCTGGCAGGGCAGGAATTGGAGGATAATGAAAATTGCTCACGCACCCTACATTTTTTCATCTCCTTCTGAAGGTTAGCCTATTTCCAACGAAAGAAATTTTCACGTGGTTTCAAATACATCACTACTACTATGACCCTGTTCCCCGCGCCCCCTTCGTTGAGGAAACCTCATATGTAGTAACTTTGCAATCATACTCAGCTTCATATAGTGAGGTACTCGAGAAAAGACATATAATATAATAGATTTCATTCAGACCACTGTACGGGTGCGCGTAGGTCATCTTCACTTCTCACCATTCCCGTATGTTTGTCAAATTACATATTTTAAATATTTTCATACATAAATAATCGCACATAATGTCAATGAAGCATGTTGCGTTAGGAAAGCTTGGTGATATAAAAGATCACCAAAGGCCAGTCACAGGCACGCTTATTGTTGCATTCATTCTTCCCCAGCCCCCATCCCCCCTTTGAAAGGTCTTGTCTCTGATTCATACATCTTTAAAGATTTCGTAGGAATTGCCAAAACCCAGCATAAAATGGTCCCGCTCTCCCTCCATTGCAAAACGACCATTGCCACCATCGAAGCACACAAGAACCGAAATAGGACCCCTTAAGAAAATCGCAAATGCGATTCGCTCATTGGGATCGGCCAAACGGCGGTTGACCCTGACTGAAATTGCCCCAAGTGAAACTGATCTTAACAATGACAGACTTGTACAACGATGGAAAACCCACATATGTACGTACATAATAAAGCGAGCATTCTTGAACAACTTCTTCGCCGGAAATCGCCACGCTTCGCCTCCCATATTGAAAAAATTACAGGACGTTTCAAGGCTTATCTGGTCCCTACAGTGATTTCCGAAATCAAAAATGTTGAGGTTAATCAGCGTTTTTGAGCATCATTAGGTACACAAAATGGTAAGCTAGTCAAATTTACAGAGAACTTTAACGGTAACCCATTTTTGGGGCGCTCCGCCTCAACCACCCCTCAGATTTATTGCACCATAAGCTATGGTTTTTCTACGTTCTGGTAGAATACTAACCCCGTTTAGGCCGATGTCAAAATTTGCGAATAGAACGATTTGTTAGCGTCCGCGTTCGCGACCGCGGACGATAGTTGATCGATTCGCAAAGTCTGACATCGGCCCTCACACTTTGATGCGTATTCGTATTTCATCCATTGGTACCTATTATGATTCTTGGCAGCTGTAGGATAGTGGTGTAATAAGTCTTAAATGCTAGCCACCCATTTTTCAATCTGAAAAAAACAACATGCGCCTTTTGAAGGTTTCTATGTAGACCGACTTCTCAAATATTTTGCACTTTTCCTGCTCATGTCCAGCATTGGTCACGATCATGATGCTAAATTGAAAGTAGGAACCAACCTTGATCAAGCCAAGAAGGCAGCTGGCTGGAAGTCCAAATACAACTTGTGCGCCACCAATTCAGAGCGTCTAATCAGCACAGGAAGATCGTCGACTCCATACACACACGACAGACGATAATATCGACCTGAAACTAACATGGTAAGTGATAGTCGCACAGCAAGCAATTCTTATAGAAGAGGGATGGACAACAAATATTGTTTCCCATGTAATAACCTCAGCGATTTTTCGTTCGCCAGAACTGCCGTCGGTGGAGGAAGTCATATAGCGAAATATTTCTCAAAGTCCTTCTACAAGCGGACGCAGGCCCTCTTTCACTTCCACTATGACGTCATCTACAACCACCCTCCAGCTCAAGGAGACCTACCGTAACTGTTTCTGCTTGAAGTTCCCTCTAAATTTCTTGTATCGACTCCTTATCGATATGTTTCTAAAGACATGAGCTTCGACTACGCGAAACCACTCAAAACCCGCTTCTCAAAAAACGTCGTGGTGGTATCGATCCGTCGAGAGCCCCTTTGAGCTCGAACAGTGCACTAGATCGGAAGTAGATTTTTCCGATGCCGTCCATGTAGAAGACCACTATATTTTTTCAATAAAACGGAATATGCTTATCAATTCCAAGTTGAAAGCGTTCGGTATGAATCTAGCAAACTGTGATTATTCCATTTGATGTATAGTGAAACTACGTCCTTGCATTTGTCCCCCATGATACATTATATGTATATTTTTTTTTTTTTTCTACTTAATATTATGCACTACTTACTATTAAACATGAACAAGGAAAGACAAAATGCTCTTGTACTAGACACTCGCATAACAATGTCCCACTACGAACCGTCTACTCATTGCGTGCGACCTTGGAGTCCACATTTTTAGACACAACCTTTCTTTCTGTTTCCCTTTTTGCTTTCTCCTTAACCATTTAGTAAGCTTCTTTCTACTGAAGTAATACTACTTTTCCCTTACTAATCAGTGTCGTCCAGTTTCCGGCGGCTCCACGTGGCCACAAAACGTGAAACCTGCGCAGGCTACATTGCGATAATCGCCCATGATTTTAAAGGCAAGATCGAAGACACCTCCTTCTTGCCATATATTTTTTCAGAGGAGGAGATTGGGGAGGGAGCCAGTAGCCGCCGCGGCGCGCGCATGTTTGCGTACTTCAGTATGGGAGCGGAATTCGTGAGCCAGGGGGAGCGTAGCCAGTCAGGGAGGTAGGGGTGAGGCTAGTCACTTGACATGCCTGAAAAGCTGGAACGTCCCAGTTCACACTATTTTGCTGTAAGGAGCCACATTGGTCAGCAGCAGTATACAAGGTGGGGGAAGCAAAAAAGCTTTTTTCTACACATGTTGAACTATTTTAAATTGATCTCACTTAACTATACCACAACTCGTTGCTTCTAACTGATTATTGAAGAGCACATTCGAAATCGACTTAACATCTTTTTACTCTTCTACATGGGCCAACACTGACGCCCGTGTATAGAAGGCTATTGCAATCCTGTAACCTTTCTGAATCGCCATTTAATCAAGCCTATTAAGCAGATCGCGATAGTAGCTGATCTGCATCTCCTTATCTCTGCTCTTCATCATCCACATCGCACCACTAAAAATTCCCAAGATCAAGAAAATCGCACCTCTACACAACGAGTTTGTCTCGATCATCCATTGTTGATAACGCGAGATTGCATACGAGTCAACCACCATTTTTGAAGTCGCATTTCGCAACGAAGATGGAGGAGAAGTCATGGGCGGAGCCGTCCACGGATCGGCACGCCGCCAACTTGAAAAATCGGCGAATTTTCACCTTTTTGAAGGAAACAGCAGGCTCACTACTCTACCTAGCTATAACTCCTCCATATTTTCGCAGCAGAAAATCCTTTCCATCGAATCCACCGGGCATAGGAAGTACTGAAAACAGAATTGAGATTCATTTTTTTCTTCCAAATATAACAATTTACCTTTCTCTCCGAAAACGGAGACGATTAGACTGGGAAGTGGGGGTGCTTAGGTTTTTGAATGGTGGCGGTTCCGTGATGCAGAAGTCAGTGTGTCTCATAGAAGAAGAATTTTTGGGTTGTCCAACACCTTTTTTTACGCTCTGTATTTTCTGATCTATAGCAATGAGAATAAGTAGGATGGGCTTAGGGTGAACCATTCGTTCGGACAGTCTGAAGGAGGAGTGGTGGAGGGGGGGGGGTTGGTGCCGTCTTGCGATTTTGGGAGTCGGAGCGGTTGTATTTAGTAATGGGTAAACCATCTTGTCCAAAAGTGCGGACGGAGGTCATATTTAAGGTAGTTAAAGGGGCCCTTGTTGTGGAAGAAGAGGTCGCTTTCAACGGAGTTTTCGACAAACTTGGTGAGAACCTCACAAAAGAATCGTGGCAAAATCAGAGCATTTGCCGAGGCTGTTCTAGAGATGGGGTGGGTGACGATGGAGCGTCGACTGGCCCAGGAATCGAATGCTTAAGAGCCAGGGTGGTAATGGGGGTGAGGGAGACGTGTTTTGGTGAGTAACCCGCTTCACATGTGGTGGAAGAAGGGCGTATCGAGACCGGATGAGGAGGGTCGTCAAATTTTCGATGAAGTAAGACGCAACTTTGACCCTAATTGGGCTAGATCTCAACCCTCCGGAAACAGGTTTTTTGAACATCACCTCCGGAAAACCATTTATAAAAATACCGAGACATAAAAATTCTCACGCTCTGGATTTCCCGCAATAGTCCCCCACAACGATTCGTCGGCGCAGTAGGTTCCTTTGAGGAAACGGAACTGTTCCTGCACCACCTTAAAATCCGATTCTCAGCGAGAAAAATCTCAATGTCTTTTACCCGTAGAAAGCGCATCACCTCATTTTTACTCATGAAATTGGCAGCCTCTCTGGAGAATGTGGCCGCTAGAGAGCTCTTGACCAAAGGGAGCGGAGAGTCCTTTATCTGAAAAGGAAAACCAACAATTACTGTTCAGCAAACTCCTCCTCGTAGAACCTCGGCATCGTTGTAATTATAATGTTATTCTTCTGCTACCGAGTTTTTAGGTGGAGGGCTTCTATCTATGCCTGACTTTCGACGATCGCCCTCCTCAAAAGCCTAAATCTGTTCAAGTTTGTGGAAGAAATGCATAAACTAACAAAAAATCACTGTAGAATACACTTTTTTACGCCAGTAACCCACTCCTGCCAGTTACTCTCGCCTTCGAAACCTTAATTCTCCTAATTATTTCTATTAACTGTTTTTCAGCTATTTATAACGGACATTCAGCCGAAGATCGTAACGAAGCTGGGCAGAGACTAGCGAATTTTTGCGAACTCCATCATTTCTATCACGGCAATAGTCAGTTCATCAAATCGCCGAAAAGAAGATGGACTCACGTAACCCCGAATGGGCAGCATTGTCATGAGTTGGATCACATCTTATGCAACCGTAGAATCATGACGGATGTTGCAGTGGTGCCTTCGTTCAACACGGGTAGCGATCACCGTCTACTCCGAGGACGATTCCATTTCGACCGCAGCCTAGTGCGCCTGATGCGCATACGCTCAAGACATTCCACACCTACCGTGCTAGACGTAGACGCTGTCTCAAGGCTTGCAAGCGAAGAACACTTTGAAATGGTTGGTGACGTCAACACCGATTACGATAGCCTCGTGCAAGCGGTAACAAGACTTGGAGAAAGCTGTCGCCGTACTGCTCCGAATCATAATGCTCGTCGTATCACTGCAGCTACTCGCGCTCTTCTCGAGAAACGCAGGCACATGGACAGACAAAGAAACCACTTGGAGTACACTCTACTCAGCCGGTTGTGTAGAAAACGGATTGCTGAAGACCATGCCAACTTCATAAGGTCAAGACTCCTAGACGAGGCGGAAAACAGACGGAGCCTGAAGAGAACCAGAAAAGGGATTGCCGAACACCGCTTGAGGATTCCGTGCCTCAAGGCTCCAGACGGATCCCGTTGCTCATCGATACAAGAAATGGAGCAAATTCTGGCAACATACTACACAGCTCTGTTCAAGTCAGACATCCCCGTCATTCGAATGGATGCGCCGAGCACCGATGAAGTTTTGCCCTTTCTCACATCGGAAGTGCGCCATGCGGTTGAAACGATGCCCCAAAACAAGGCGCCTGGAAGAGACGGCATCACTATAGAACTTCTTCGAGCATGCGGTCTGCCTTTATATCGAGCCCTTTGCTAAGAGGTTTACGCGTTATGTAGCTGAATGTGCTGTTCCAAGGGCGTGGAAGCAGTCATCGACAGTGTTACTGTTCAAGAAAGGCGATAAAGAAGACCTGGCAAACTATCGTCCCATCACTCTGCTGCCGGTATTCTACAAAGTGTTTACGCGTTGCATATTGGCGCGTATCCGACGAACATTGGAAGAGGCTCAGCCAGTAGAGCAGGCAGGCTTTCGCCGCAATTTTAGCACGCTCGACCATATTATGACCTGTCGACGCCTTATCGAAGCATCGCGCGAGCATCAACTGCCTCTGGTGATGACATTCATTGACTACAAGAAGGCGTTTGATTCAGTGGAACCAACGAAGGTATGGAGGGCGCTGGAAGACCAAGGCGTCGAAAAGGTGTACGTGGATGTGCTGCGTGAATGCTACACGGAATGTTCAACAGTGTTTCGCCCTTTCTACAATGACGTTGTTGTTGCAGTTGAGAAAGGCGTGCGACAAGGTGATCCAATATCACCTAACCTCTTCGCTGCCTGTCTGGAATCCGTGATACGCCGCTGCAACTGGAGCAGCCAAGGAATCAACGTCGACGGCATGCGTTTGAATCACCTCCGATTTGCCGATGACATCGTCTTGATTACGGATTCGCCAGAGCATGCATCTGAGATGCTAAATCTTCTGGACGAGGAAGGAAGTCATTGCGGTCTCGTTATCAACACCTCCAAAACGAAGGTCATGCGGAATGCATTCTCAGCTAGCGCCCCTGTACTCTTAAAAGGAAGTCCAATCGAAGACGTTGAGGAGTACATATACCTTGGGAGCCAGCTGAACATGAATAACGATCTTTCCGGAGAGCTAGCGAGACGTCGTAAGGCTGGATGGGCCGCCTTTAACTCAATAAGAAGTGTTGCAGAAGATACCAAGAATCGGAAGCTCCGGGCCGACCTGTTCAATTCGTCAGTGCTAATACCTGCCTCAACTACGCTGGAGAAAACCTGGGTCTATAAACAAAAATCGCTAGAAATGACCGGACTTCAAATCCGCTAAAGCAATCAATATGAACGTCGTCTGATAGGCCTAACGCTGAGCCGTCAACGAGAACTGAGCCTGCACAATTCTGACGTCAGAGCTATGTCGAAGATTAAGGACGTTTTGGTTCACGTCAATGAAGCGAAGCACCGATTTGCTGGGCATTTGATCAGAAGAAACGATGGACGTTGGAGCTCGAAGACTGCTCAATGGTATCCGCGCGAGAAGAAACGGCCACTTGGCCGCCCTCCTTTACGTTGGGCAGACTCTTTGGCATACAGAAACAACGTGTATGATCCTGTGTCCCTTAAGGTGGCCGTACACTGGACAACGAAAGCCCAAGACCGCGAGCAATGGAAAAGAAGTTGGGACCCGCGCAAGGCCAACCGCCGTGCTGATCAACGGGTCGTCTAAGTATCTAAGTAAGTAAGTAACTAAGTAATAAACGGAGAACCAGAAAAAAGGCAAAAAATGTACACGAACCCGTTACGTCTGAGTCGATACCGCTCAAACGGTGCTATTTGGGTATTGAACGATCCATTCAGAGCTGTAAGAATACGCACCAGCTCTAGATTTGTCTTCAATGGAGCATCAACTCCAGAGAGAATCTGGAAGAGTTCTCTACTTTGTTACGTTCGTGTAGTGGGAAAATGTGGCGATGCTGACCACTTGTATTAGCATTATGCCTGCATTCTGACTAGCCTAGTCAAAGAAACCCCCTCCAATTCAACAGTTACCCAGCCAAGTTGGAATAAAACTGAAGTATTTTCCACAGAACATAAACCTGCAACGGGATTGTTTGGATTACATAAAGATCAATAAGAATAAAGCATTTCCGTTATCAATCCCAAACAATTGGCACAATAATTCCGACCCCGAAGGAATGGAAGCCTGGTTGGCTCGGCGAAAGCAAGACCATACAGGATTTCGATCCCATCGGACCAGCACGCGCAAAAGTTGTAAAGACGCGCCAAACTTAGCCACTAGACACCACCTTACCCGCCCGTTGTTTACAATATATTTATTTATTTTGTAATTACACAGAATTTAACGCAGTTTTGTAAACAACTTTGACAGTAGCAGGTGAATTATTTCCGAAAATTAGAGAAAAACTCAAAGCCAAGCTTGCACCGCAACTACTATTACTGCTGTTGCCAAGAGAATAAAATACTATACTAAAATCACTTTTCTATCTTTTTCTGCAGTGCCAGTTGAAAAATGCAGTAGAATTCATCAGAGTGGACTTTGCCATATGCTTTAATGCCCTTTAAAATTGTGAGATCGGCGGAAAAGTCTCGAACTCTTATGACAACTAATTTGATTAGAATGCCTTTGGAATTTTTACTTTTCCACCGTGGAGGATGCGCGGTTTCAAATTACAATAACGGCACATCTTTTCCCTTTGTGAGTAGCTCTGTAGTCACATCGTATAACTTCGCACAAGCTGTTTAGTTATCGTAGAATGAGCCTTTCGAAAGAATTGAAATGAGTTCCTCCTTTTCTTCTGCCCTTGATATGGCCGTTTCATACCATGTCAACCCTATTGTTGATACACAGTACCAACGGGGGGTCGTACTTGGCCTTTAGCTTGAAAGGGGGGGGCGTTCCCGTATCCCGCTCAGTTTGGTGTTGAAAACTCGAAGTTCCACGAAGTAGATATGCTTAGGTGAAGTTTGGGAGCGCACGGGAGAGAAATTCGCGTTTCAGCGTGCGTATATACCCCCTTCCTCCCCCCCCCCTCCGCTCGACGGCATTTTTGGAGGAAAAAATGGGCGGAGTTTTGTGGGTTGAGTGGTATCAGAATTAAAATACTATAGAGAGGAATATGGTGGTCGAGGGTCGAAAAGGGGGTCGTATCAAGTCCACCTTGGGGGAGGGGGGTCGGTAAAAAAATTTTCAGAAAGTACCAACGATAGAACTGAACCTATGGGTTTCCACCCATTCTAACTTATTATCCGAGACAAACTTTCCTGAAAAGCAATGAAATAAGTAGCATCAAGGAACTATCACCAGGTCTGCCGGTCATTGAACCAACATTGAAAACCATGCACGTGCAAACTACATGCGAACCACCATTACGTTGGATAGATATCCTGGTCCAACGGAAAGACGTCTAGTGGAAAAACAGACAGAATCCTTTTAGGTATCGGTACTAGCAACGCCGCCACCAAAAAAATAATGCAACACGTCGAACCTAACACGGCATCCCTGCGGCGCCAATCGAACTATGGCACCGCCACCTAGACTGCTAAACTAAGCGGCACCCATCACTTCCATTTTGTCTAAGTACAGAAAGAGCGTTAAACTTAAAGAGATAGCAAACCGATAAAGTCCGCATCAGTTACAGAAATCAATCATCCAGGAGGGGTCCCCATTCTCATTTTCACTTCATTTCTCGTGAGTTTCTGCCTTCAATCCCGAACCCACTAACGATGCCTCGTTCTCATATTCTATAGTACTGTATTCTCAACCCGCTGAAAACCACCTTTTGAGTATCCGTTCCTGAACAAGCATACCTTGAGATCGAGATCTGATTAACCGCAATAAGGTCAAGACGCCAAGCAGATGTCAGATCGTCAACATAATTTAATAAGATTCACTAAGAGCACACTATCTGAAGCCCATTCCACTCTGTATATTAACCTCTCCAGTCGCCGATAATTTGTGTTGCGATTGTCATTAACACCCCCAATCGAAAATTGGCTTCACGATGATCTCATAGGAGCACCATTTAATTGCTTTCGCTCTCTGTAAGCTCACTCAAACACCGGTTAACATAAATGACCACAACCGAACTGAATTCCGGAACGAAGAAACCTTAATTTTTGTTCTGTTCTGGATTTGAACAGCTTATATATGATAGTATTTTACTATTGATTACGTGTGTTCGAATCGTTGTTTTGTTTTTACGTGGTTATGCTCATAAATAATCATTGTGGGGGGCGGTTTGTTGGAGAGTATAATATTTTTTGTATAGGTCTTATGTGCTGAAATTTGTTCATTGTAGGTCAATGGTTGTTGCATCGTCTTGTTGTTTCTCAATATTATTTTCTTTCTCTAATCGTGCTTGTTGCTGTTGTTCAAACGTGCGTACGACAGTAAGATAACTGTTATTTTTGTGGGTTGTGTATATTGTGTTTTCTTTTATGTTTTTATTCATCATTCATTTCATCCTTTATAATTATGATACTTTTATCTAGTTTTTTTAGTATTTGGTGGGTTGGTTGGTGGTGGTTGGTTTAGAGTTTCGCGTTGTGCAGTCAACAGATTATAAGTATGATTGTGATTTATTCTATATTGTGTTATATTATGGATATTGATTTTAGTTGCTTCTTCGGCTTGCTTTTTTTGTATTATTGAAACTCGCATTAATTGTGTATTCATAAGTCTGTATTATGTAATGAATGATCTGGTTAGGCATTAGATTCGTTTCTCTTATAGGGGTGGGTTATGCATGTGGTGTTTATTAGAGTCATATTATGGAGGTGTTTCAATTTGATTATAATTTCATTCTTGTAATAATCGTCTAGCGTTTCAGTATAATAAAAATTATCTTCTTATGTAGATGAATAGTAGTCTATCTGGGGTGTTGGTCTGTATTAGATTTTTTAAATACTTTTTCTTGATCTCGGATATGTTCATACGTGTGCTTTTATGGTTATGCGCTGGTATTCTAATTTTGTCGTGTTGAGTGGGGTGGCGTATGTCCGAGTATTTTTGAGGTGAGTATTTAGTGTCGTTTGGACTTGTTTTTCCATTTTGTTGCATTATTGTGTGTCTGTAGATGTGTCTGTTTGGAAAATGAAATAAATGTAACAATCATCGTCTTGGATCCATAATGTTTCATCGCAACTGAAACATTTCCCACAATCAAAAAACATTTTCAAAATTATCGTGAGGTTTATCTACGCTGGAGACAAGCAATGAAGTTTTGTGGAAATTCTGGTGGTGTTAATCGACGTCGCGGCACTATTTTGACAAGCTGTTCCTCTGTACAAAAACTTAAAGGCAGCGAATCACGAATTATAAGAGTCGCATCGGCGAAGTATCTCACGCCCTAAAGCAGTTAGTTTGAATCCAAAAAAACCCGAAAGCGTGGCGCTTTCACAACGAAAGGTGCGCTGGTTGCTGAGCAGGACTTCGGAAGCACTCCGCCCCCCAAAACCGATCCGCCCATCAGGTTACTTGTTAATTTGGACGAGCTGCGTGGCCAGCAGCTGCGCAAATGGAGAATCTCGATAACGTAGATTTTGCAATGTGCCATTAAAACGTTGCGAACTCGTCTTATATACTCATTTTTGAGTTCTACTGGTTGGTGATTGAAAAAACCAACGGCCAAAAAAGGGGTCCAATTTCGCGTTTTCTTGACGGAGTTTTCCACTTTGCCCTGGCGAACCATTGAGTACCACCACGTTACAACCAGCCCTTCTTGAGTTTTTCGTAATCGTTGTCGTATTCAAATTGCCAGACCATGTGAAGGAGTAGTAAACTGGCATTATGCACTAGGACACATATCTGAGCTCAAACGCTCATCTGAGTTATATTTATATATCAGTTTATAGAGCAAAAATTTCAAATACACTAAACGCCTCATCTTGTAAAAAAAGGCACGTGCCCAGATGCCTTCGCCTTTTCAAACCGGCGCTGATTTTTAATTTTGCTTATAGAAAAAATTTAGCTAATATTAAAACTTCTGAATAAGTGGACTATATTTTAGTGCAACGTTGAATTCATAAAAACCTGGATAAAGCCAACGATCTCCTCTATTCTCAGTCGGAATAGCTATTTTCAAAGGATAAATGCCTCCTAATTCTTTTTAACTGTGTATACCATTACTATTTGCGGTCTTCCAGAATAGCGTTGAGCTACCCCGGAACCGTTAAATTCCAACTGCTTTCCTTAACTGCTTCATTCTCGTCTCCATTAAAAACCCTTATCGCAATCGATGTCATTTAGCATCAGTGAAACTAGAGATCTGAAAAATTACAATTTAATTATATGATCCTGAATGAAGATGAAATGCATGGCGCAGATCGATCGGTATGACTCTGTGAATTACTAGAGTATTCAGAAATTTACTGCAAAAATTGTAAGTAGAGCCACAATCAGCAATCAGTCTTCGCTTTTACGACAGCTGGTACTTGAATAATCTCGTCTTACCTATCATCTAGTTGAATTTCGCTTCGCCAGTCGGTATAGATTTGAAATATATCAAAAATACTAGCAAGAATACCAGAGCAATACTTCTAAAGGTCGATGATCTCATTGAAAGTGTGGGCTTTAAAATTCATGAGATGGGCTTTGGCCGAGGCGTTTGCATATTGAACAGCTCGTGTCGTATAACTTCGTTAGTACAGCCCTTGGATATGTCATTATTCAATATGGTGGACATGGTATTGATTGTTACTACTCAAAGAAATTAAGGCAGACTGGAAGATCTGAGGGACTATAAGTGTATCGCAGAGAGTGCACTTCGAAGAGCCAAATCAAGTTTAGTCGAAAGTCCCAATTTCAAAGATTCGCGTCGAACGGCCTTCTGAGAACGTTTTCTTTCGACAGAAGGGTGAACTTTCATTTCCAAACCTTATTTGGAGTACTTACACTAGAGGAAGGACATTTTGGTTCAGAGACTCCGAGTCCATCAAAAACCATGGCAAACACTTTCTTTCACATGCAAACTTAATATGAACGTGCACCCTTACTTCACGCCTTTTTCAAAAACCATGTGAAACCACAGTTTGAACGGTGCGCAAGCGAAGGTACTTTCACTACTTCCTTTTTCATACACCATATTTCTACGTTTTCTCTTATGCTACCGCCAATGTCATTGATTACTAACCAATTCGAGGGTTTCATTTTAGGACCAAACATGAAATTCAGGAAGTGGGGACATTGGGGTGCGTAGGCAGTATTCCTTATAGGCTTGGCCCTTTCTTTCGTCATAAAAGGATAAAGGATAAAGATTTTGCCGACCAAATTGACACGACCCCTCAGCCAACTGGAAAGCTCGGTTTGCCCGACCGGCGAAATCACGACCCAGAGATTTGATCCGCCGACCCGCTGCGGTGAGTCGAACTGCACTTCATAACACACTTCCCGCCCTCTTTACCAAATATCCCAGGTGGAGAGAATATTCTCTTTTGATTTTGTGTCTCACCCGTTTTGAAGCCTTCTCTCATTATATATAATTGTCGCATCCTCTTTTAAATCCCATACGTCGAAAACCAATACCCCAACCTGAGTTTCTCATTTTGAAACATTCCAAACGAGTTTGTTCACTCATCGGATGATTTCTTCCACGACGGAGATTTGGATTACTAGGTCTATCAATGAAATTACCCGCCTTTTTCGCTCATAGGTTTTCAACAAGAATCACAAACACATAATAGTATCAACAAAACGCTCTCGACAGTCCCCTCTTGCAACGGTGAGCTTAAAAAACTACCGCAGGCTTCACTCGATTCCAAGCAATACAGACCATGTCAGCTATCACGAGCCGCTTAGGCACCTCATCCAGATGTGGCGTCTTCCTTTGCTCAACAGTGGTTATCTCAAATGAAGGAAATACACCAAGTGTTGTGTAATATAATTACAAGAGATTAGATGACTCTCACCGAAAGGTTCAGGCGTGCCAAGCTTTTTGAAAATGGTCTTTTGCATGATATAGGGGCACATGTGGGAACCACAGAACCATGGTTCATTTTTCCTGAACGGCCCTCTGAATACCAGAAAAGGGGGTCCCTAGTTCGATTCCTCGTGGTGACAAATTTTTGCATTTCGAGTTGACGTTCCAAAATTCGCGCAAAATGGAGTTAGCATGAATAATTAGTACCATATTCATGATTAGGACCGTCAGTAACCCTTACAAAAGACTTTGACTTAAAAATTGGTGTAAGAGGTGTGACACCAAGCAGCCCCACTGTGGTGTCACACCTTTTTCACCAGTTTTTAATCAAAGTCTATTTGTAAGGGTTACTGACGGTCCTAATCATGAATATGGTACTAATTATTCATGCTAACTCCATTTTGCGCGAATTTTGAAACGTCAACTCGAAATGCAAAAATTTGTCACCACGAGGAATCGAACTAGGGACCCCTTTTCTGGTATTCAGAGGGCCGTTCAGGAAAAATTAACCATGGTTCTGTGGTTCCCGCATGTGCCCCTATATCATGCAAAAGACCGTTTTCAAAAAGCTTGGCACGCCCTGAAAGACCTTCCTGGTCAGACTACACGTATTCTTTGAAAGTAATTAGCAAAAAATCAATGAGCCTAAAAAATGGCGGATAATTATTGTTCAACCTAATACTTTAGAGGATATGAACTGTCGCATCGCGCGCCTCCCTCAGTGGATAGGAGGCCCGACAAAATGCCCTAAAACGTATCCTCATCAAACGAATGAGGTGATTACAGCCCACATGCTGCCAAAGGAAGGGGACAGCGACTTTGCTTCTGTGAATAATGACTTAATGGAGGTCGAGAAAAGCAAAGCAGCAATCAGGAGAAAAATATTCTTTTACTGATACAAAGACTTTTCCCCTCGCTAGCAAACAATTCTTACGTCTAGGCCACGGGCGGTCGACTGTCGAAGTAGGGTCAGCAGCTGAACAATTATTGAACCGAGGCGATTCTATAACCACATAGGGCACATCGCAACAGCTCATCATAAGCGCTCCAAGTTGAGAGCAGAGAGCACCAGAACGAGTTATTACAAAAAGAAAGGGTCCGTCACGGAAAATGCTACTGTAAACCTACTGGAATAGTTGTGAATCGTTTCATTGCGAACCTCAAAAACTAACCTTCAATAGATCAGAATGACAAAATCTCAAAATCAGTTTATTTTGCGAAAATTTCCCAAGAATCAGTTTCTCTTGGTCGTATCAAATACAACAGCGGCCGTAAGCTAACACTTCCAATCGGGATATGGTTATGGAAGAAATCACCTCGAACTTCTTCCCTTAATTAAAAAAAATAGAATTTCAGCTCTGCTTGGAAATATGCTTTACAATCTTTTTTGCAGCAGTCCTAGTTGGGAAACAAATCAAACAAGAGGGATTTTCGCTCCATCCCACGCTGGGAGCTTCATAATACAGCTCCGAAACGTTCTTTATTGACAAGACAAGCACTAGAATTTTATTGTATCGTGAGTTCACACCAACAATCCAACCTCGACGACATCAGTTACATAAATAAAAATAAAATAAGAAAGGGAAAATATATAGTTATATAGAACTCGCTCGTATTACCACTAGCCATCCGACCGATATGCGCATTACAACAGTTAACAATTATCTACGCAAAACGAGTAATCACAATGTCAACAGACGAGAATAAATTATTTTAGATACATAATTTTCTCTGTTTTCACTGATGATAGGGTGAACCGCGATACATTCCCGGACCTCCAGGACCTCGGGCAAACGGATTCCCTCCAGGTATTCCGGACGGTCCGCCCATTGGAGGCGGTGCAAAGCCACCCATTGGTGGAGCGAACGGCGGCGGAACTCCACCAGCTGGCGGTGCTGGTTCCGACGGTGGTCCCTGGCCGAATTGCGACTGTTGATTGAATGATGGCGCGAATGCAGGCTGCTGCTGAGCTTGACTTTGTGGTGGGAAAGCTCCAAAGCCCTGGAATACTTGCACATACATCACATCGAACATGCTCAGGAAAAAATAATATATCCGTCTCAGAAGTAATTGAAATCTAAAATAATAAAAGTTTGTCGAGTGCATGTCATGGGGAACGGTTCGCCGTACTTTTGAACCGTTCTCATAATCGCTTCACTGAAAGACACTCACATTACCCCGCACTCCACACCGCCTGGAAGGCCTTCCTAGCTTGGGCTGTCAAAAACTGCATTAGCCGCTGTTCTCTAACCGCCTACGCTCCAGCCTTTAAGGCAAGAATCAGGATTAAATTGATGGGGTGATTCCACTCAAATGTGAAAGTAGGGATGGGAGGTGGACCGCCAGTGGAGAAAAAAGGAAGAAAATCCTGAAATACACAGGAAATACGAGCATTTTGCTCTATGCTGTGGAGAAGTTCAAAAGACAGGCAGGGAGATGAGAGATAATGTGAGCGCGGAGAGCGACGCAGACAAGATATCGAACGGTGGGCGGACCATGTTAAGTTTGGTGGAGTCTGTTAGAAGTCCATGGCGCCTAGGGTCCTAGTGACGCGTTTCGATGTAGAAAGGTGGCGCTACCTTTGCACTTGCGTACCCAGCACTTCTAGCCATGGTAAGGGCTTCTTAGGTGGGTCTGAGCCCGAACTTTGCCTTTAAGACGGAGAACTGAATGCCAGTTCAAATAGTCACGAAACCGCAGATTCTTAAAAAAAAG